ACACCTATCCTTCTCAAACTCATCCAAAATATAGCAGAGGGAGGAACACTCCCAAACTCATTCTACGAGGCCACTATCACCCTGATACCAAAACCAGACAAAGATGTCACAAAGAAAACTACAGGCCAATATCACTGATGAACATAGATGCAAAAATCCAACAAAATACTAGCAAACAGAATCCAACAGCACATTAAAACGTTCGTTCACCATGATCAAATACAAGGATTGTTCAATATATGCAAATCAAACAATGTGATAATGCCATATTAACAAACTGAAGGATAAAAACCACATGATCATCTCAATAGATGCAGAAAAAGCTTTCGACAAAATTCAACACCCATTTATAATAAAAACCCTCCAGAAAGTAGGCACAGAGGGAACTTACCTCAACATAATAAAGGCCATATATGACAAACCCACCACCAACATCATTCTCAATGGTGAAAAACTGAAACCATTTCCACTAAGATCGGTAACAAGACAAGGTTGCCCACTCTCACCACTATTATTCAACACAGTTTTGGAAGTTTTACCCACAGCAACCAGAGAAGAAAAAGAAATAAAAGGAATACAAATCGGAAAAGAAGTAAAACTGCCACTGTTTGCAGATGACATGATGCTATACATAGGAATCCTAAAGACTCTACCAGAAAACTACTAGAGGTAATCAGCAAACTTGGCAAAGTAGCAGCATACAATATTAATGCACAGAACTCTCTTGCATTCCTATACACTAATGATGAAAAATCTGAAAGAAATTAGGGAAACACTCCCATTTACCACTGCAACAAAAAGAAGAAAATACCTAGGAATAAACCTACCTAAGAAGACAAAAGACCTGTATGCAGAAAACTATAAGACACTGATGAAAGAAATTAAAGATGATACAAAACAGATGGAGAGATAAACCATGTTCCTGGATTGGAAGAATCAACATTGTGAAAATGACTATACTACCCAAAGCAATCTACAGGTGCAATGCAATCTCTATCAAACCATCAATGGCATTTTTCACAGAACTTGAACAAAAAATTTCACAATTTGTATGGAAACACAAAAGACCCCGAATAGCCAAAGCAATCTTGAGAAAGAAAAATGGAGCTGGAGGAATCAGGCTGCTGGACTTGACTAAACTACAAAGCTACAGTAATCAAGACAGTATGGTACTGGCACAAAAACAGAAATATAGATCAATGGAACAGGATAGAAAGCCAAGAGATAAACCCATGCACATATGGTCACCTTATTTTTGATAAAGGAGGCAAGAATATACAATGGAGAAAAGACAGCCTCTTCAATAAGTGGTGCTGGGAAAACTGGACAGCTACATGTAAAAGAATGAAATTAGAGCACTCCCTAACACCATACATAAAAATCAACTCAAAATGGATTAAAGACCTAAATATAAGGCCAGACACTATAAAACTCTTAGAGGAAAACACAGGCGGAACACTCTATGACATAAATCACAGCAAGATCCTTTTTGACTCACCTCCTAGAGAAATGGAAATGAAAACAAAAATAAACAAATGGGACCTAATGAAACTTAAAAGCTTTTGCACAGCAAAGGAAACCATAAACAAGACCAAAAGACAACCCTCAGAATGGGAGAAAATACTTGCAAATGAAGCAACTGACAAAGGATTAATCTCCAGAATTTACAAGCAGCTCATGCAGCTCAATATCAAAAAACAAACAACCCAATCCAAAAATGGGCAGAAGACCTAAATAGACATTTCTCCAAAGAATATATACAGACTGCCAACAAACACATGAAAAGATGCTCAACATCACTAATCATTAGAGAAATGCAAATCAAAACTACAATGAGGTATCACCTCACACCAGTCAGAATGGCCATCATCAAAATATGTACAAACAATAAATGCTGGAGAGGGTGTGGAGAAAAGGGAACCCTACTGCACTGTTGGTGGGAATGTAAATTGATACAGCCACTATGGAGAACAGTGTGGAGGTTCCTTAAAAAACTAAAAATAGAATTACCATATGACCCAGCAATCCCACTACTGGGCATATACCCTGAGAAAGCCATAATTCAAAGAGTCATGGGGCTTCCCTGGTGGCGCAGTGGTTGAGGGGTGCAGGGGGCACAGGTTCGTGCCCTGGTCCGGGAAGATCCCACATGCTGCGGAGCGGCTAGGCCTGTGAGCCATGGCCACTGAGCCTGCGTGTCTGGAGCCTGTGCTCCGCAATGGGAGAGGCCACAACAGTGAGAGGCCTGCGTACCACTAAAAAAAAAAAAAAAGAGTCATGTACCACAATGTTCATTGCAGCTCTATTTACAACAGCCAGGACATGGAAGCAACCTAAGTGTCCATCAACAGATGAATGGATAAAGAAGATGTGGCACATATATACAATGGAATATTACTCAGCCATAAAAAGAAACAAAATTGAGTTATTTGTAGTGAGGTGGATGGACCGAGAGTTTGTCATACAGAGTGAAGTAAGTCAGAAAGAGAAAAACAAATACTGTATGCTAACACATACATATGGAATTAAAAAAAAAAAAAAAGAAATGGTTCTGATGAACCTAAGGGCAGGACAGGAATAAAGACGCAGACATAGAGAATGGACTTGAGGACATGGGGAGGGGGAAGGGTAAGCTGGGACAAAGTGAGAGATTGGCATGGACTTACATATACTACCAAATGTAAAATAGCTAGTGGGAAGCAGCCGCATAGCACAGGGAGATCAGCTCAGTGCTTTGTGACCACCTAGAGGGTTGGGATAGGGAGGGTGGGAGGGAGGAGATATGGGGATACATGTATATGTATAGCTGATTCACTTTGTTATAAAGCAGAAACATACCACTGTAAAGCAATTATACTCCAATGAAGATGTTAAAAAAATAAAAATAAAACCTTTTGCTTTCCCTTGTTAAAAAAGTTAATTTAGAATCCTTTTAAAAATTGACTTTTCACCAAGTATAACAGATCTGAGAACAAAATACCTACTATAGATCCAAAATCAAATGAATAATATGAGCAAGAATCCTATTGAAGTAAATTTTAGGTAAAATATAGTCACTAAAACCTTTTCTGAAATAGTAAATTTCCATTAATTTTTGTCAACATTTAAATGATAGTTTTGCCCATTTTAACATGATTGAATGTCAAAGGAGGATGAGTACTTTTGTTACACAGATGGCATATGCTTATATCTTGCACTTCAACCTTCAATTTTATCTAAATAATCAAAACAGAGTTAACTAAAGGGCCTCAAATGCATCACAGTTTATATACCCAAGGAAGAGTCAAATAACCAAATCAAATTATAATTCATTCTGTAGAGGCATAATTTTTTAACTAACTTGAGACTAGAAGAATTATCACCTAAAATTTAGCACCACAAAAGCCACTATCACATGGGTCATGCTACCGCAGCAAAGGCCAAATGATCATATATACTTTTTTTCCCTCCACCTTTAAATTAGGTTTTTAAGACCAATTTCTTAAAGAAGAGATCTGCCATATTTCTTTGACTTCCTTCTTATGACTAAAAATGTGTCTGCCCATACAAAAAAAAAAAAGGTCAGAATCTTTCTATCTTCAGAATGAGGTAACTCTCCAGAAAGTCCATACTTCTGAGACATACCAAGACTGAAGAAGCAGGAGGAAAAGAAGACAGCCAGCCCGCTTTACCCCATGCCCAGCACTCTGACTTACTGGCCTCAGTTGTTTTGAACGGCAAATGAGACAAGGAGCGCTGAATGTGCTTTGAACATTAGAAAGTATTATTTAGACTGGAGGTGTTCTCAGTCCTGAGAGTACTACACGGAACGGGAAAGGATGAGGCAGTGTTGCGTGGTCTGCCTCAGACTGCTGGTGCCCCCACCTTGATCTTCAGTTAAATGGAAGACAAACCAGATGGGAGAGGCCAGAAGCAGCCCCAGAACAAAGGCAGGGAGCACCTCCTGGTTAGTCTGGGGAAGAAACACAGGAAGCAAAAGCAATTGCTGCTTCCTTCCTCATCCTTCCTACAGTAGGCTTTCTGACTATCCACAAAAGAACCGAGAATCAAGAATCCTGATCGCATCCCCATGGTGACCCTTCAGAAAGCAGCACTACTGCTCTAGTCACTATCAGAGTCTTTGGTAATAGAAGAACAAAAGGAATAGCTAGAGATAAAAAGGGAGTGAAGTAAAGAATTATCAAGGAATAGGTAGAAAATAAAGATCTGAGGCTCATTTTTATTCTGAGGATTAGCAAAGGATTAAAAAAAAAAATCCACACTTCTGTTTAACATACAGCAGCAAATTTTCCATGCTGACAAGAAACCCACATCCTAGAGGGTTGCCGGAGACACTGGGAGCACGCAGCCTTTGAAGCATGCTTCAGGAGATCAATATTTATTCATTCAACAAATATTTTTTGATCACCTACTATGAGCCAGGGCTACGTGATCTGGTGGGTTAATTCCAAGCCGTAAATTGAGATAAGGCCAAATCCCTAGAGCAAGGAAACAGCATGTCAGAAACATGCTATCCAACATGTGCTCTGAATTGCCCATGTCTAAGAAGATAAATTAGCTCATGGAAGCTGAAGGAGAGAGAGCCATCCATTGTCATATCCTGCCCAAATGGCAGGAAGGGGGAGAATGTACGGAATAATAAAAATGACCACTGGGCATGTCATTTATGATAGCTGTCTTTAATCAAAGTATGCTTTACATATTTGTAAAGCCAATCCTTCAAGATACAAATATATGGTATTTAGATATAGGTGATACTAACACTCAGAGGTGTTGACATTTTATTGATATTAAACACTGAGTAAAACTTTAAACTTCCTGCCAAGTAAACTTTACTTCAAGCACTGCTTTGGGAAACTTACTAATAAGCCTTGAAGAAAGCTGGTAGTTCTTTGACTCTGGTCAGCTATATTTTACACTCTGTGGGATAGTATTAATCTGTGGTTCTGTCTTAGAGTATCTCACTGCAATAACCAGAGGAAAAGGAAGCAAGAACAAACCTTGGAAATGATGACCGCCATTGCCAGGTTCTCAGAATGAGCTGCCACGTAGCCAAGCATCATGATGCCCGGCAGCTTTATGTTTCCTTTGCAGGACCCAATGCAATCGATCACGGCAGCAACTCCCCCCGTGTTCACTATCAGCTGAGAAAGCTAAGAGGAAAGAAGGAGAGCTAAAGTGTAAGATGATCTTTAAATATTACTTCAGCATTGCCAAATTTTAAATTTTAGGACCTAAAAAACGTCTGGTAAAATCTGAAATGTCATTTAGTGAAATTATTATTTTTATCAAAGAAGTGTACAAGGGTAACAGTCCTGCTATTTCTAATGTACAGAATATGCTCACTGTGAGGACCCTCTCTGTGGCTCAATTTTTCTTGCACGACTCTATCCTTATCATAATGGATGTCAAAACTCCTCACCTAAACACTAAGTCTAGGGCTAGTTCATAACTAGCTAACTGCTGAAACCCCCTATCACAAGGTGTGAGTAAGAATTGGATTAATCACTGAATGCTGAAAGGTGAGATCAGTCTTGAAATAGTCTAGCCCCATTATCCTTCCTTTGCCAGCAATGATCTCTAGCTGACTGCACTCCAGTCTTGAACAATCTCAACCAGATAAAGATGTTGGGTGAAATAAAGAATGACGACTTGGGACTTCCCTGGTGGTCCAGTGGCTAAGACTCCGAGCTCCCAATGCAGGGGGCCTGGGTTCAATCCCTGGTCAGGGAACTAGATCCCATGTGCCGCAACTAAAGATCCCCCACGCCACAACGAAGATCCTGTGTGCTGCCACTAAGGCCTGGTGCATCCCAATAAATAAATAATTTAAAAAAAAAAGAATAAGGACTTAAAAGCTTAGTGAAATGAAATTGATTAGTGAAAATATGCACAGAAAAAGACATAACTTCAGAATCTACCCAGGTTCGCTTCGTCTCTATTCCTTTCCCACCTCACACCTCAGAGCAGGAACCACTGTGCAAGAGCAGCTGTTAGAGCAGTTACGCCAGGTCAGGGGGCCTGATGGTCTCTCCCAACCTGGAGGGGCACCATCTCTCACTACGCCCAGCTGACCTAGAGTGACAGGACAACAAAGGTCCACGGTCCCTACAATCTAGAAATGGAAAGCAGAAAATGATTAAAACCTGAGATTTCAGACTCAAACTCCATTGATATAACCCAGTGGTTCTCAAGTGGGGGCACTCTTGTCCCCTAGGAAACATTTAGTAATATGTGGGGACATTTTTGATCGTCACAACTTGGGGGAGGGGCGCTACTGGCATCCAGCGGGCAGAGGCCAGGGATGCTGCTAAACATCCACCCTACAGTGTACAGGACGGCCCCTCACAGTGTACAGGACGGCCCCTCACAACAAAGAATGACCTGGTCCAGAATGTCAACAGTGCTGAGGACGAGAACCCCTCACAACATGTGACACTGTCCCTGAGCCCTGTGAACAAACGGATGTTTTACTTAAAAACTAAAACTAACTGCATACTGTTGGGTTTTTTTTTTTTTTTTTTTTTTCGGTACGCAGGCCTCTCACTGTTGTGGCCTCTCCCGTTGTGGAGCACAGGCTCCGGACGCGCAGGCTCAGCGGCCATGGCTCACGGGCCCAGCCGCTCCGCGGCATGTGGGATCTTCCCAGACCGGGGCACGAGTCCCTTGCATCGGCAGGCAGACTCAACCACTGCGCCACCAGGGAAGCCCCATACTGTTGTATTTTGAAGCTGTTTTTTTTTTTTCCTTGTTTTACCTCAGGTGTATGTTTTGCAATCTCTCTAATTAAAGTGGAAGCATTTTTCTTCACGTATTCATCTTTGTCCTTCAGACAGGTAAGTACAGCTGGAAAAATCTCTGCTTCAACCACCATTTCTGCTAGATCCACAGAATGTTTCGCAATCTGACTGAGAGCTGAAAGGATCTGACGCTGTTGAGCAAAAACCAAACCCAAATGTTACATAGACTCCACTGTGGAGTTCAGACATAATTTAAACAGCTTCGTACACACTCAAATTCCTTTATAAAGAGGAAAAAACAATCACACATCCAACATAATCTAGGAGTCTCGAGGCATTCACATCCTAGTCTTCTTATACCTCAATACTCAATTTCTTAAATTCCCTCATATCCAAGTTAAACATCTTAGTTCACACTATTGACTATTTAAATCTCTTATCAGTTGAGGCTGGTCAAAGAATATGACCCTGGGATGAATACTATTTCTTAATTACGCAATACTTAAATTGTTAATTGACGATAAACACAGTAATGTAGTACAGTAACAATCAAGCAGAACTAACATTTTGGGATATTGCCAATATCATTTGTAAAACTTTACATTGCTTAATTAATATTGACAATTTTTAAATCTTACAGAATATAACTATTAGAATATAAAAGTATAATTGGTGACTATCAACTGAAAATTAGATTTTAGAAAGCTATAGAAAAGACTAATGTAAATATGGCAATTCTTACAGGAAACTTAAATATAACAATGGGCTAGAAAACCTTTAGGTCCCTTCTAACCCTGAGATTTAATCATTACGTGATTCCTTACTTTAATTATTAGTATTAATTCTGATGCTACTTCTAGTTTTCAGCGTTGCACGTACTTTTTCCCAGTCACATCTTTATAATCCTTACAGCACAGTTTTCACATATTAAAGGACCAAATACACAATATTTCATATCTGTTTTCCATGATAATTTACTAATTATTTAAAAATGTATAATATTAATCTGCACACATTTCCATCTTCTTAGATTATCAGAATCCTGGATTGTTTGTTTCTTTATTTTTAACTACCTTCAACTTAGCATCAGGGTTCAGGATCATCTGGGCTAAGTGAGCAATTGCTCCTGCGTCCACCACTGTCTGTGCCAACTCTGGAGAATGCTTTGCAATATCACTGAGGGCCGAAGCAGCAACCCTTTTCAAAGCAATTTCTGGCTCTTGGATACAGAGCACTAAAAGAGGAATGGCTCCCGCGTCCACCACAGCTTGTGACAGCTCTGTGGGTCCAAGAAAAGTAATTAAGTGAGTATGGGTGACTGACCCTTGTACAAGCCACTTTTCACCCTGACAGATACAGCAAAGGGAAAAGGGGACGGTGTACTTCACTGTCTCGACATCTGCATTTCTAATCAGGCTTCCTGGTTTCATGAACCATGTGGACCAATCCTGAGCTGAAAAGAATACAGGTCAATAGATGGACCTCCATTTACATGAACACATTTGAGGTAGATTAAGCTGAAATGGCTTCCTATTCTTTTTTTTTTTTAAGAGAGTAAGCAGATGTCAGCTGTTTAAGCTCTGACAATTCTGCACTTCTCAATATGCAAGCATTTTATGCATGGTTTACAATAACAGAGAAAATTAAAGTACCAAAAATTTACCAACCACACTAATTAGGCAGTATTTTGTGCTATTTACATGAGTAAACATTAACATGAATCTTGTGCCAATAATGTCGATTTTTAAATTCCTTTCATCTTATTGTACTTTTAAAAGATTTTTTTTAAAACTTTGTACAATATTAAAAGGTGTATTTTCATTGTACATATAAAAACACTTTCAAAAATGAGAACTACAACTGAACAGGCTTTAATATATATAAATGTTAATGTAAGATAAAGAAATAAATTTATCTTAAGCATTTTACATGTCAGAAATAGTATCTTTTGTATATACATGTTGATTCACTTGTGTGCCCAAAAATAACAGCTATAAAAAATAACACATTTTAAAATTATAGAGAACAGGAGACAAGCAGGCAGACCCATATAATATATGTGTAAAAACTGTCTGTTGAGAAGCATAAAACAGTGCATAGTTACAGATTCTACTCTCATTGTACTCATGGCCTTTCTTGCTGAATCACATATACCCATTTCTATAATCTCTTTCTTTCAAATTATGCTCTCATTTTCTCAGATTTATAGCGCCTTGGCAATTTATATCTTAATAGCCAAGCTATCAATTCAGCATATCTCTTAGTCTTTAAAGAAAATACAGTCTTTAATTTTTCAAAAGATTGGTAATATCACATTTTCTAAAAGGAAATAATGTTAGAAAATACAGGTTAGTGTCCAACACTTGTTTTCCTTCAATTATTATAATTATCTTAAAAGTCCCGATCTTGCATAAACGATTCATTCATTCTTTCGTTAAACAAGTATTAATGGAAGGTTATTATGTGTCAGACTCATTCAACACGGGTGCAGATGACACACTTCTACAAATTAACACTACACTGATTAGCAAATACGTTTCAATTAAAAAACCCAAGTGTGAAATATGAAATACAATGGGAAGTTCACCTATTTATGTATTTTCACTTTTATACAGTTTCTAAGAGTAAAGAATCTGCAGTAAACAACTGTTTAAAAAACAGTTAATATGGGCTTCCCTGGTGGCACAGTGGTTAAGAATCTGCCTGCCAATTCAGGGGACACGGGTTCGAGCCCTGGTCCGGGAAGATCCCAAATGCCGTGGAGCAACTAAGCCTGTGCGCCACAACTACTGAGCCTGTGCTCTAGAGCCTGTGCTCCACAACAAGAGAAGCCACCAGAATGAGAAGCCCGTGCAACACGAAGCCTTTGAAGAGTAGCCCCCGCTCTCCACAACTAGAGAAAGCCCGCACACAGCAACAAAGACCCAATGCAGCCAAAAATAAATAAAATAAATAAGTTTTTTAAAAGTTAATAAACTATTAATAAAGTTAATAAAACTATTAATAAAAACAAAGTTCTTTTTAAAAAAATTTATCATCTTTGTAATTCCCATACATTTTATGCTTTCCTTGAGTGAGTATCGTATCCTCCTTTTCCTGAACTCTATAATATTAATAATAAAGCAAACTCAGTTCTTCTGACTTGTTACCCATTCCCATCCAAAGCTGTTTTCCATTCTTTCTGGATCAGTGATGCTAAATGAGGGGAAGGCTGGGGAGGGTACCAAAGAAAGGTTTGCCTGAAGGTAATGAAGCTTCCAGGGACCTGGATGGGGCCTAGCAATTTTGTACTTGCAGTTTCATATACCTTACATCTCCAATTTATATGGTCCTACAAAACCCAGCTCTGTTCTTGGGTGGCACACATTGTAATTCATAAATGATACTGTTCTACCACTTTCATTCATATATTGGGTATAAGACAGTGTATATAAAGGTAAGAGTATAATAGACCTAAATAATGCACACCATACTATATTACACATTCCACAGGCTATTTCATCCTGCCTCTGTCACTGCTCTTTTTCCTGTGGTATATCCTTCTCCTCTTTCCTACCGTTGCTTCCTCTGGTATTTCTGTGCCAGTCGCTGTTGACGTCTACCCCATAGCCTTTGTCGGTCAGGGCGTGGGCTTGTGAATCAATCCTGGTAAATGGGACCTGAGCAGAAGTCAGCTAGAAGCATCTCTGAGCGGTTTTCCTCTGTAATAAACAGAAATACACAGGAGGAAACACCGCCTCTTCTTTGCTGGACATGGGCACATCTGCCTGCAAATGACATCTGGAACTCCTACAGCCATCTTGCAACTATAACAGAAGAAATTGCCAATATGCTGAGGATGGCCGAGTACAAAAATGAAAAACATCTGGGTCCTCCAAGACACTGTTCAGCTGCATAACCAACCTTGGAACTGCCCTGACTCTTCACTTTGTGTCATGTGAAATAAAAAAATGTCCTCATTGCTTAAGCCACCTGTAGCTGATATTCTGTAACTTACAGCCCCAAACATATTGATACAATTCTGTCCTCTCTCAGGCTTGGTGTATGTACTTATTTTCCTCTCCTTTCTGGTCACTGAGTGTTCATTATGTGCTAGAAACTTGGCTAGATCTTGGGGAAGCAGAATAGAGTAAAAACGTTGTTCTGTTCTAGCAGACTCTGCTCAGGGTAAATACGTGAACAGACCACAGCACAGAGTGGAGCTGGGAGTTGGGTGCATGGAGAGTTTGGGGAAACACACATGGGGTGCCGTTTTAGGCAGTGCTTCCCATCCTCCTTCCTGCTCCCCTTTTCTTCTTCTCTCTACTTTTCTACTCTAAAAAAAGTGGTAGTAACCAAAACACATACAAAAATCTGGTACATTTAAAAGTTACTCCCTATAGGAGAAATCTCAAAGAATTCATTTTTAACTCTAATTTGGAAATGAGTCTGGGTTGTTTAATTAATTATTAAACTTAGGAAATCAAAGATTGATATGTACAGATGCTCATAAAAGGTTTGACCAAGGAAAAAAAAGAGCCAATTAATTTATCTTCAGTGCCTGAAAATATCTTAACCTCATTTTTTTCCTTAACCTCATTTTAAATTTTAAATGAATCTTCAAAAAACAAATTTTTTAAAACTACATCTTCTTTTATTTATGCAAGAACATGTGCCATAATCATATACTGTTAGGTAACCAGCAAAATTAGAAGTAGTTACGCAAAAAATAAAAAAAATCAGAGAAAGAAGGCTTTATGTTATACTAACATACTAACAAGATTTAGATGGGGTTAATGGTACTATTGGTGATATATTTTCTTCTCTATTTGACAAATTTTCTTCAATGTGATTGTTTTTAAAAAATAAAAGAAATATGAACATGTCCTTTGACCACACATATAGCTACTGCTGTGGCTAACTATACTAACATTACTATTCTAAAGAAAAATAAACACTTTAGCTTATTTCTCACTATGAAAGAAAGTTTCTTATTTTTAAAAATGGTGGGAATATGTCCCCTTGAAACAAAATATTAGGAAAGAATGCATAATTATTCTTTGAAGAATTACTAATATATACTAGAAATATTATCCATTTACTTTTTCACACTTTCCCTCATCTTAATTCATGCCTTTATTACAGTTAAAATATTACATTTTTTTAAATGTTAAGGCTTATTCATTTTTAACAATTTTTTAGACTTCAAATTGTCAGTAGAAATAAAACTATACAATAGCACTTTCCTTATTCATAAATAATAATTAAAGCCATTGATTGCATGCATGTAGACAACTGGTATACAGTCTGCAAATCTGATGGTCAGCTGTTTTCAGTAAAGAAATAGCTAGTTCTCTTTGGCCTCCTGAATACCTCACTGCTGAGTGAAGGAATTGAGGCAGCCACCTCTATCGGACCATGACAAGCTCAGTACAACTTTAGATTTAATTTTTAAAACAAAAGGAGACACAGAAAAAAGGGAGGACATTTAAGATCAACAACATTCATAAAATTACTAGTATCTAAAGCTGGATGAATGGAATATTTAGGGATGACTTTATGTTGACCAGAAGGGAAGAGCACAGAACGGAAAGTCCATCAGCATATAATAGGCACGGCTGTAACACATAAAACTAGGTGCGTCAGGCAAAAGTGATTTTGCTTTAACAGTGCTCACAATGGCCTTAACCCCTCCTCTTAATTGTCATGGTTAGTGGTTTGTTTAGATCAGGAGTGGTAAACACAGGGCCCAGGCAAGTAATTAAAATAAGTGAAGCCAGCAGGTGTAAGAAAAATAACTGAGTGGGAAGCACAGTAAACTGCAAAACTATATGCACCAGCTCCAAGGAGCAGCAGCCACTCAGCTTCAGCCCAGCGCGGCCACGTAGGAATATAGGCAACCGTTGTCAGACACTTGGATTTTTCAAGAGAAGCCAGACGTCTGATTTTTAATGTGAAATTGCCTGGTTTTTAAGTGTTGGAAACTTAAAAACACACTGTGTAAGACAACCTAGTGCAGGCTAAATAAAACACGTCCATCATTTTACAACCCTAGGCTCAAACCTTACACCTTCTAAAACGAGCTATGGGGACTTTCTGGATGTAGAAAGGTGACATTCTTTCTACATTTGATTCTTGAAGACACACTCTAGAGTCATAAAGGAAGAACCACTATAGTGATTACATAAGAAAATTCAGAGGTGAATTCCAAGAAAACTGATGAAAACCTAAAACTTGGCCTGCAAAAAAAGGATTAATCTAAACATATATTATGATACTCCACTAATTTTTCTGCTCATA